TTTTCACTTTAGTGGAAGAAAGACATAGCTTACACCAAAGCTAATGCATTAAGGTGTTTTACATTCCCTAGTTTAAAGAGCAAATAATATATTTGCTTTTGTAAGTAGATTCCTTAGAATACACAATACAAAAATAAAATAAATTGCTGTAAATAAGCCATTTCTCTGAGCTTACTGAGATTAGCAACATTCTTGTGGGTGCCATTCAATGTTCTAATGGAACTCAGGGAGATATCCTCCCCAGGAATAAACCTTTATTAACACACTTAGTCTAGATTATTCTGTTAAAAACTAAAAGGAAAAAAAACCAAGCAAAACAACAAAAGACCTTTCTCCATTAAACTACTTCTGAGTGATGCCAGAATTATAATAAAAGTAACCAGGAATGGTAAAGTAGAAAGTTACACTACTTTTTATACTAAATATACCTTCGCAATTTTGAGCACATTAACAAAAAACTTTAGTTGCCACTGTATCCCTGCCTACCTCAACTGTTATCCATATATGCTCTAAAGAGCAAACCTTCCCTATACTAACAGAGCTTTGCTAGTGAAAGCGAGTTTTGCAAAATTCACAGAGAACTGGCATATTCAGGCCTCTTGGTTGTTATGCAAGTGCAAGTGAACCTCCCAGGGTATTTCTAAAAATTCAGATTTTTTTTGAAAGAAACTCTACAAGCAAGACTGCATTGCGCTGGGCTTTGCTCTGCCTGGTTCGAGGGTGAGAAAATCCCATGTTACCCCCATGAGGAACTGAGGGCATGGCCCAGATGCAAGCTCCTCACTGGGCACCCATGAGGGCAGGACCAGCGCTAGCTCCTAGTGTACCTTAAAGTTTGTGTAATTTGTTTCCATAAAGCTCTGACAGTGTTCAGTAGGGAATTAAGGGCAATATCTTGTGTCATATATACATACTGCAATACTCAACATATGTCTAGGATGTGCTATTCAAATAAAACCCACAAATGCCATACAAGCTCATTCAGAGTCAGAAGTTCAAAAGGAGAAAAAAAAAAAAGAGTAACATTATTTGTAAGATGAGAAGAGTATTATAACAGGAGTTCACTTTTAAAGCCAAAACCAAAAAAGTTTATTTCATGCAACTTACATCTGTCTAAAATTAGAATGGGTGTCTAGATGACTTTTTAATCACAGTGATACTGTACGAAAATCAACTCATATTCAAATTGCATCTCCCAGTGAGATAACAATTTCTAATATGTTGAAAAATCTACCATCTTGTTAATACAGATCTAAAATAGGAATGAAGCTATTTAAGTCTTTATAAGACATTACATTTGATGAAAATAGCTATTATTACCATATCATATCCGCAGTACCAGAAGAGGGAACAAATTAAGGTAGGCTTTTAAAATATTAATTGAATGTACAGTTTACTATTGTGAAACTAAAGCATAAGGGTTGTGTATTTTATACAGAAATAAATGTTTTGAGAAAACACTGAAGAAAAAAGCAAAGGATATGTCTTTATCATGAAAGTTTGAACTTCTTGAATTGTTTAAAAGTCAAATGATTTGCACTAATTTTCATCACGTACCAAACCTATAGCAATTAAATCTACTGAGTTGGTAAGTAGTTTTCATGCCTTTCAAAAGGAACTACAGCCTGGATGAATGGAACGAGGTGGGCTGAAAACTGCCCGAATCCCCAGGCTTGAAGGGCATTGATCAATCAATGGCTTACGCCCTGCTGGCAACCAGCAAGGAGGACAGTCCTGCAGGGATCAATTTTGTGGCCCATGTCAACCAACATCTCACCAATGACCTGGGCAAAGACAGACACTATATGCTAACAAGTTCGCAAATGACATTAAAATAGGAGGATGAGGCAGCATGCCAAATGGCAGAGCTTCGATCAGAAGGACGTTGCTCGGCTTGAGGACTGGGCCAGAAGACACTTCATGAGGTTCAATAGAAGTGCAAAGGTCTGCACCCGGGGCAGAAAAATCCCATGTGCAAGGGACAGCCAGGCAGCAGCCCTGACAAAAAGCAGCAGGCACCTACGGTGGGTGCCAGGCTGCAAAGGAGCCAATAGTGTGTTCTCATGGCAACATGGGAGACCCCATTCTGCGCTACACAGGCAGGGAATGTGGAAAGCCCACTAATCCCCGTGACCCAGTGCTGGTGAAATTTCACAGGTTGTCTAAAAGTTATAATTTGGATAGAAGCCCCCCAATCTAACCTCTGTTTTCCCATTCTCTTTAAAATCAGCACAAAATAGGTCATGATGTCCCCAAGGCTACAGGAAAATTTTAATGAAATATTTTGCACAGAATCCAGAGAATTCTGCGTTATAAGAAATTGCTTTATGGTATGTCTGCTAGAACTTTTCAATTTCTATTAAAGGCTGCAAATATTTTGTGATGCATTGTTTTGTGTTTCCTCTGCTTACTACTTAACTAATTTAACATTCAGTAGGCTTAAAAAGTGCCTTCAATAGAAATACTTAGCATACTAGAGTTTTTTTTAATTCTAAAAATGTTAATGTTATTTTTCTTTCAATAAGTGTCAAATAAACAATTGTAAAAACTAATTAAATCAGTAATGGTATCTTTAGTGTTCACCACATTTCAGTTTGCATTGCAAATAATGGCACCCACAAAGCCCTAGCAGAACACTGTAAAACTACAGATCTTACTCCTGTATTTAAATTAAAAACTGACTTTCAAAAAAATTTGCAGTTTCTGTCCCTCAGATGTACTTGCAGTCATACACGCATAATGCTTTCTAATATCACGGTGAACTGCACACAAAGACTGGAGCATGAGATGGGCAAATGTTTAATAATATTTTTAAGGAAAGTGACACGGAATAATTAATTGCTATTTTGCACACAATGTGCCAATTTGACTCATAGTGTAATGCCATTAAAGAAAGTAGGATGAAGTTAACCAAATAGGATTAAAAAAACCCAACTTTGATATATTTTCATTTTCTTATAATAACAATAGCAGAACTAAAAAAAAAAAAAAAATCAGACTATGTTCAACTAGGAAAGAAAAAGATACCGTTCTTTGAATAATTCAAAATGTTCTTCAGAAGAAACCCTGTTAATCTGCACAGGTTTTTTATACCAAATATTCATAAGTAATTCATGAGCATTCACAATGCCTAAGAAGTCTGCTTAATATTTTCTTCAGGTTTTCATAGTTCTTCCTAATAACAGAACTGTGTGAAGAAATTGGAATTCATTAGTAGCTAGTTACTCTGCCAGTTGCTTTGCCATACAAACAAGGGGGAGAACTAAATGCGTATTAAGTTCTGTAGGACCTGACTCTGCAAAAGGAAGAAGCAGGCGGAGAGCTGGGGATGCGTGGTAATCTACCGAGAACTGTTCAAGCACCCCCCTGGGCAGGATCACATACCTATCTAATCATTTTTCTTAGGTCTCAGTACTGGAATCAATCTTAAATAGAAAAATTCAAGTGCACTATGTACGCTGTGTATGTATACGAAGAAATACAATGTATATGTATGAAATCTAACCGGTCATCAGTGCCTGGATGTGTAACGCATGCATAAATGGAAGACTAGATCATACCATATGGAATGCAGTTTTTACCTAATACATTACTTTTTTTTTCCTTTTATTAAAATCTGCCTTCCTACTGTTCAATGTTTCAGAGATTTTCAAATAGAAAGTGCCAAGCCTTCTCCCACATATATTAACTAAGGCTTAGCAACACGCAAGAGACTTGGTTCTTAATGAAAAAATATAGAATCACTTTATGAAAAACTGTAAAATATAATTTCGCACAAAAGCTCTTTTGGCAACACAAGTAGTAGTTGTTAGCTACAATGCATGGGAACCTCTGCCATACTCTCAAATATAAATTTAGATAAGAGAAGTGGATTGGGAAAAACAGAGCCAGTAAAGCAAACAGTGTGTGTGGCAGAAAATAGTTGCATTTACAGTACTATCCAGCTTCTGGAGAGAAGCCAGAGACCTTCCCATGAAATCCTTCTGTGCTTTTAACGCTGTTGCAAAGCTTCAGGGAATTCTAATTGTATAAGCAGTTATGGGGAAATGAGATTCACTGTGAGACTATGTCCAGCCAGCGGTAAAAGTGGTGATTGCAGCTCAGCATTGGTCATTTAGAGTATGAACTTTCTGACTAGGAATTCATATGCATTTACCAAAATTGTCTCAAATTCAACCAGTTAGCAGTTTCTTTTCGGTCTGATTATACAGTCAGCTTCCCAAAGCTAAAGCATGTACAGTAGAACTCATTCCTCTGAAATACAGTTAGATGTTTGGTTGTCTTTTGATTTTAAATAATGCAGGTTCTCCAATATGTGTATCATGATAAAATTCTAGTGCTTTAAAAATCTGCCCTTCACACAAGCCTAAGCATACATATTTTAAAATTACTTACTGTACATCTTCATATTTTGTTTAAGGCATGAACAATGGTATATGAATGGGAACAGCTTCCGGAAAAGCGTATCTTTTTGACAAAGGCCAGTCCAAGCACATCACACCAAAGGACTAACCAGAAGCCAGAAATGACAGTGTTGTGACCCAAGAGTTTTTAACAAAAATAGTTGAAACAAAATGGATTTTTTTCTCTTTTTCTTCCTTTTTTTTTTGTAATTTAAATTACATTGCTCTTAATGTCTGTTTAAAGCACCGGTTGCAGTTTTGCATTTACCACCTCTTCCAAGTGACTTTGGATAACTCATCTGCTTCTTTTGTTCTGAATTTTCAGTGTATGAAACTTTAAAAGGTTTCTGTTTCTTTTTTTTTCTTTTTTTTTTTTTTTTTTTTTTTTTTTTTTTTAATGGCTGCTGCAAAATTAAAAAGATCCAGAAGTGGTCAGGGGCCTGGTCTAATGCACTTTCAAAAGTCCGTTATAAAGATGAATATAAATGTGAATGATAGGTTTTTCCGTAGACCCACAAACCACGCTTAGCTATAAGAAACATATTGTGCATAGTTATTTTTTTCTTCAGAGTGATATGTTTACTAGATCTACATTCTTGGTTTACCAGAGTACGGGAATTTCTACTTTACTAAAGCCAGGATCCTTCCGCAGTTCCCAGTAGGTGTCATTGGTAACCCAGGCTTCTCTTTGATTAGCATCAATAACTTTTCTGTAGAAAGGGGAAAAAAAAAAAGAGAGAGAGAAAGAGGGAAAAAAAGTTCTGACCATAGATCTCTGCTCTTATGCAACATGAAATCAAATTCCATACCACTCTAATCTAACCCAATACTAAATCTGATTTCATATTTCTAAAGGACACAAGAACTTTCAGGGATTTAAAAATAAAAATCGGCCTCTACCTGTGTCAGAAGTGGAAGGTTTAGAAAACAGCCAAGATCACAACTCTGTTGTCTGATCTGTGTGAGCAGGTCCTAGAGCCACACAGAGCCCCTTTGGCCATTACAGATTCTGACTGTGTGCAGGGGATCAACCAAGAGATCTAGCTTGCTGTATGCAAGCCTTTCACCTTTTATATCGCTTGTCTCCTCTGAATTTGCTCATCTGCCACTGCAAAACTGCATCAAGCACATTCAGTCTTTTCACTTTTGATTCCCCATGCTAAACACCAGGTTATCTGGTATGACTATCCCTTTCCTGAGAAGAATGCTTAATTAAAAGCAAAATCAAACAACCTCCCCCCCCTAAAGAAATTGTAATTTAAGTGTATATATACATTTGTATATACACTTTATATATAATGTGTGTGTATGATTCAGTTGTTCCGTTAACTATTTATTACTTTGTTTATGCAATGACTTAAAACAATAACATAGTTAAATCTTAGATCCTAATATTATACTCCCATTCCACTTCAAAGTTCAAAAAACATTCGCCAAGGGGTGCAGCAGGCTTGTACAACTGTTGCCCATTGTGAGAAAATGATCTTTCCATTATGAAGTTTTATCCACATAAAAATTGCTTCAGGCAGAGATCAGGGATCTGATTATTTTTCTTAAAATTGCCATTTTCCAGGCCTTCACAATTAACAGACTACATTGGTGGTAATTCTTGAAGTACTTTTGTCCAGTCACACTATAAAAAACAGAGATTTACTACAGAAATTAATAGACTCACTTAAAAAATTTTGGTACATATTCAATGCTGTTTTCTTCCATGTATCGCCTCCGACCTCTCTGGAGTTCCTCTATTCTTTGTTTCTCAGATGCTGCTGCTTCTATGTTCCCTTCCTCCAGAAGCCTGTATGAATAACAGCAGGTCCTATAGCAATCATACAGTGTCTAAAACAAGGGATTTTTCTAGCACCAAACATCACAAAAGACAAGCAGAAGCCAAGCCTGTTGTCTGTGTCATACCCACTTTCAGATCTAGTCATAACCTCATAAAATTAGAATAAGAAAGATGTGGCTCCCCAGTTACACGTACCTGACCTATAGCCTAAAGCATGCACTTTCTTTAGTAACTTCAGCAGATCACAAACATTGAAGTACCACGAACTGAGAAATAAGAGATTAATGTTGGTTCCATTCGTAGCAGGAGGGCATGACATTTTAGAGCCTGTCTTTCCAGTTTGTGATGAGGAATCCTACCTCTGCCCAAAGACTGCCCTAGAGCTCTACTATACCAACAAGACGCTTTCTATTTCCCTCAACTAGGTAAAGCAGAAATTTGATTGCAACACTGAATACCTTCTCTGCTAGCACAATCCTCCAAGGCTTAGTTCAGACTGTAGTGAAGACACAGACAAAATTCAATACTCAGCCAAACGAGACTTAAAACCACCAAATATTAAGTGTATAAATAAGCATTCTTGCCTTTGATCTGGCCTGAATCGCGCATCTGTTGTAGGAAGAAGATCTTTCAGTAAAGGATCTAATTCATTGAGCTCAATGGCAAACCTCGTGAAGCCATAATAACGTTCATAATTGGTTGGCATGGAGCCTATAAGAATATGGTTGAGAAAGAAAAAAGCTTTTTAAACTATTACTCTAAATATGCAAGAGATAAATTTATTTATTGAATTATAACAGCAAAAATATTAATATATTTTACTCTTACAGACAATTAAAAAAGCATCAAAAGCTATCCTCTAGATGGAGTGCCACTAAATATTTATTTCAACTCCTTATCCTGCAGAGGTTGTAATTACATGCTAATAGATTCAAAACTTCTACGATCTTCCTTCCTTTTTAAGTAAAAATTACTGTTTTCAAGGTTTTCAAGTGAAACATAGTTTCCCATTCCCCAAAAGTGGGCTTACCAGAACTCTGTATAAAAGCTAACCTTAATTGATCTTCAAAGTTAATTTTGGAACATAACGCTCCCTCGCAGACTGATTCGGCACTGTTCAACACCAGCCCTAATGGCAGTCAGAGTAGACGGTGCAGAGACTAGGGTGCAAAGTAGGGTTCAAAATACTAACAACAATGACAATTCCTGGGTAATCACTCTGCATGTACGAAAGATACTATAGGTGCAAAGGATGACTAATTCAACCTCAGTGTCTCTAAGCAAGCAGTAAGGAAGCGGAAATCAGCTCCTGAAATCACAGGAGCTCACCATCTCTGAAGACCAATTCTTTGGGCTAATAAAGCATCAGGCCAACAAACTTAATAAACTGGCACCTCCTATTTGTTGAATCCAAATAAGCTACCCTGCTCTGTGTGAGAAGGCAGGCAGGTAGGTCCAGACATCCAATGTTTTTCTTCATTTTATTCTTATGTTGACCCCAAGATGCCAGAATATTTGACCAGCAGTCAGACTGAGATGTAGAAGACTATGCCCTGTAAGAACATTTCCATTTACCATTACTATAAACTCATGTAAATACTTGCTTATTTGTCCAGCCAGAAGTTTAATTTCTCCAGTAGTATTTTGTGTACTTAAAATGATGGCTAAACCAGCTTTACATAGTCTAGGGTTACACTACCGTGCCTGCCAGAGTTTATTACAAGCTTCTTACCTGGCCTCCATATGCATTTGGCTGAAGGTGCAACCCCACAATAAAGGCCTTCATGCCACTTTCCAAAAAGGCGATGAACCACCTTCCCTTCTTGATCTATCACAACACCCTGGACCTCGTTTACATTTGAATTCCAGTAGTTCACCTGCAAGTTTAATAAAGAATTACTAGTTCACACTGTTTTCTGCATTTCCCATTGTACCAATGCAGATACTGCATGAATCTTAATATGTGGCACCGACTGTCCAAATTTCGTATCAGAACAGCTCACCTGGAACCAAGAATATCAGAATTTGAAATTCAGATAATCTGTGTATTAACTGATTTAGTACGAGAAATCCTGAATAATTTGATATGTGGTTTTTGTATAAAGGTATTATCTGCACATTTGGGAACAATATCGTTATTCATTAACCCAAATCCCACACAATTCAGCAAAAATGACACCTTGAAAGCTGCAAGATCAGAGTCAGCTAACTCTCTTCTTTCTATATGCAGAAGTACTGAATATACCTGTACATGTAAGGGAATCCTTTGATGGGTGCTGCACACCACTGTTTGCAGCAGGGAAGACGTTCAGCCAGTATTACTTGTTATTTGTTGCTTTCTGTTTCTCTTCTCTGTTTTGCTTTTCTTAGACACATTTATTTTCTATACCTTCACTTACTGAGCCAGCTGCCCATTCTCAGAACATCCATCAAAACATGAATTTCAGACTTACGGTAACGCACCATTGCTAACACTGCAATGTTATTGATATATTTTGTTGCAATATGAAGACAAACTTATTTTTAGGGAAAATAATTGAGAGTAACATAGCTATAGAGTGATCTGTTTTTCTATATGGTCCTTGCCTAGATATGAAACTACTATGAACCAAAGCAGCATTATTTCATCTAAAGAGACAAAATATTGACTGCCAAATTCTAGTAAAGGCAGAAGTAAAATGGCACAGAAGTCTACAGTGACTTTGCATTTCATTGTGGTAACAGAAATTTTGACATTTCATTTTTAGCCTGAAACCAACAGTAGTACAGCACACAGCTATACAGCAATGCAACACGCTGATATCAAATGTTCAATGGAATAGAGCCATACCACTTGACATAGCACTCTCATTTGACAATTCACATACTTACACATGTTGATATGACAAAATGTAGAATGTGGATTTCAGGAATACTGAAGAAACAGCTCGATGTATGCTTAAACTATGCAGTTTTATGAATATATAGTATGTGTTAGAATACATATGTTACCTTGACAAATGTGAGTTTACAAATACAAACACTGCTTTTTGTGTTTCTGATAGTTATCTCTCCGTAGTGTTCTATCCACCTCCTTCCACTAAGAATATTATGTATGCAAGTAGTGACTTTGTTCCAGACATAGTAGTCTCCATACCTAAGAACAGATTAACAAGTAGTTGGTAATATATATTAGTCATGATCATTACGGACAAAAAAGTAAAACATAGCTCCATTATCATAAATGCAAGACCATATTCCTCAAAAACTTTTCAAACGATAGCTTACTTTAATAAAGCACTGGTTCTGAGTACATCACTGATCTCCCGCAGAGGGGCTCGCCTAAGCTCTAGTGCGGAGAGCTGAAGAACAGTGCTATGAATCACAAATCAAGACGTTATGAACCACTGAAGCCCTGCACAGCATATTCACTGTCCTCAGAGCATTAAAGTGCTTTGGCTACAGTTCCTTTAGGGGCAGGACAGCAACATAAGGCTGAATTGAGGCTATAAGCAGACAGTATAATTAAATTACTAATAGAACAAAATAAATACAGAAAGGAGATAACAGAAAGGAAGTAGGAAGCAGGAGCTCACTGGCATATCATCCCTTTCCCTCTGTTAAAACTACTCAGAGTCCGAGCATCTCTGTTCTCAAACAAGGGATTCGAATGAGGGAATTATATCGTGCAGAGCACATCCTCCTTCAGAGCTGAGGGGCAAGCATGAAGACAGGAGGCAAAGATGCTCCCGAGTGCATTCACTTCAGTTTCATGAGATGGATAAAGAGGTGAAGTAGAGTGATGCCATACTGTCAGAAGCAGAAAGGCTGTCTGCAATGCAGGAATAGTACTGCAAAACCAGCAGACATTTAAAGTATCCTCTCATTGCATATTCTCAGGATTTACAATTTGCAACTAGTCTTACCTGTGGTGAAACAACTTCTTCTCACTACTCTGTCAACATCTGAAGAACATGTTTTGGCTTATCTACATTTTGAAAAATGACATTACATTGTTTCTACAGGTTGTTCTGAGGGAACACTTAGCAGTATTGAGAGTCTTAGTAAGGACAGCGCTATCTGCTGAGGGTCCTATATTGCAGCCTTGTTCTGAACAGTTGACCACTACTGTACACGTTCAACTTAGGTTCTCTCTCCTAAACCATTTCTATCCCCCTGTCTATTGCTTTCTAAAGAGTTTGCATATTTTTCCTCAAAAAAATCAAAATGGATCTTCAAGCTCAAAAATGCTTCAGTATCCCCACCTGTACACTAAGGAGAGATTTGAGCTAGGCGCTAACTCTCACCAGTACAATTCATGTGATGTCTGCATACACTTCCCCCAACCCATTCACAAGGCAGCACAGATTAGATTGCAGCAAAGACTGAAAACAAAAGGCAATAGGACAGTAGCTTACTTTGGAAGAGTCACATTCAAGGTTCCAACTGGCAGAATTTCCATTGATTTCCCCCAGAATTTGTTTTTCCACCTGATATCTGAATACAATAGTGAAAGATTTACAAAACTGAAAAGACCAAAGTCTCCCCCTTGCAGTGATCTGCATGGCACGCAAGATGATCTATGCTAGACCGTCCGGTTTAAAACAGAACACTATGAGGTTGTCGTGAAAATACAAAAGAAAAAAAATACTAGAAAATGACATTAGGTCAGAAAAACTAAAGATAAGTTTGATTTTCTTCTAGGAGTCATGTATGGGCTACATTATTGTGAAATCTGTAATGAAAACATTCAATACAAATTAAATGCATATGCCAGTAGACACAAGGAAAGAAAGGGCTGCTTGTTCAACTGTGTAAAAAGAACTGCCTGTGTTTGTAAGAAACGATTTTCTTGGCAAAAAGCTTTTAAGCAGAAAATTATAAACAGACTGCAAATGACAAGGGAAGTTGCAACACTGCTCACTCTTACGAATGAGAATTTGGAGTGAAATAATTCAAAGCATCAGTTTGTAATATGTTACTACAAAAAAAACAAGTATAGAAATTTTGAGTAAGTTCCAAATGCAAAGCTGAGCTTGTACAGACAAAGTTTTTACTTGCTAATAAAAGAGGAGTTTATGTTTTTGAATTAAAAAAGTATACCTTGCCAAAACACAAAGTTCTTCGATTCACAGTGACAGGCCGAAATGGGAGGATGGTGGCTAACCTGGAAAACAGTTTGGCTGAGTTAAAACCAATTCATTTTCATTTCTAAGACAATACAACTGTTACTGCAATATGAAAATACTGGATAGCCCACACTGTTTATTAGCCTATGTTGCTATGAAAACAGATGCAACTGTTTGTACTTAAGATGCTATGTACATAAAACATTTCCTTGTGATTATGTACTATAAACATGTATCTTCTAGCATTTAACGAAGTTCGCTCATACTAACAACCTTTCTTTATTATTAAGAAAGCAAACCATTCTAACCAGAAAGAAAAACCAAGATTCCTCTATAAAACAAAGAAACCAAAATCTAAATCTAAACAGGAGTGTCTATCTAGAAACAAGCTTTACCTGCTCTGAGAAAAATCGGAATCCTTTGTCTTCTCTAATACACTCATACGTTTCACCAAGCACTGGGTTAAATGGCTTGCTTCCTGCTCTAAAGTATGTAGAGGCATAGCCAGATGCTGCAAAAGCAGCGATGAGAACCTGTGAAAACACAGACAAGAACATAAGTGAGATTAGGCAGAGATTCTCCTGCCTATGCCGTCATCATGTGGTATCACACAGCTCACTCCACTCAGTGACATCTGGATTAATGAAGCATGCCTGAGAGGGAAGCCATACATCCCAGCCAGAACCAGTATAAACTGCATTTCTTTTGTTGATATACTTTGTGTTTCTCCATGGCCCCAGCCAGAACCAGTATAAACTGCATTTCTTTTGTATATCCTTTGTGTTTCTCCATGGCCTCAGCCAGTCTCTTTCAACAGTCCCCCCAAATAATCTTTTTTTACCTTTGACCAGGCTTACCATTAACGATCTAAAACATGGACCTGGCTCTAGCCTATGCTCCCTGTGAATAAATATTATATGATAACAAAATCACGTATCATTTTCCTTTGGGACCTATTTTACTTAGTGCCAAACATAGACAGCTCTCACTTAGGATGTCCTTAATGCAGAGTTATCTCAGGATCTTCCAGGCACGTGTGGCCTTATCAGCTCCCTTGTCCGCATGTACAACCAAAATTTAGTAATCTTTAAACCAGGCCTAGCTGGGAGTAATAAGCTAAGTGACATGCCACAGTAATTTAGATTACAGCTCCCTTCAGCAGAGTTTTAAAAAAAAAAAAAAAAAAAAAAAAAAAACAAAAAAAAAAAACCCAAATCAACCAAAAAACCAAAAAAAACCACACCAGACACTCAGAAGTCCAAACAAAACTTCAGAAAAGCAATATGGGGATAAAAATCACTCAGCTATGGATAATCTGCTAACAGAGGGGGAAACCTTAACCAGGTCCCCCCCCTCCTCATGCTAGCGAGGATGTAACACTCGTGTGAGCTCTTACATGCTTTGTTTTCTTCCCGCTGTGTAATGGGTGCTCCATTCTCTATTCATTTCATATTATTCATAAATGCAGCATCAACAGAATTAATGCTCTTTTCACAGGCTTTTCTTCAACAGTAAAAACTTTCATTCTTCCAAAACCTTTTTCTTGAATTTAACTATAAGACACTACAGAGAAATGAGGGGGTTTACTATCCTTATGATATATAGAGCAATGAGAAGAAAAAAGTTTCCACTACTTTTGGGTGCTTATTTAAGATAGCAAAGTCCTGATTTTTCAGAGAACAGTGAAGAAGCAGGTAACATATTGACAGCACTGCTACCACTGATGCTTTGGGCATTCAGCAGTTCTGCTAAGTAGTCCCACATGCCTCAGCTTGGGCGTGCTATCTGCATTTTTAAGGTGCTTGTTAAAAGTTTGGCTTTTATCCAGAGTATTGCACTAGATATCCGTAAGCAGAGAAGGTGATTGAATCCGCATTTCCAAGGAAGCTTTCAGTTGCACCATGGCTTTTCCTTCCTGAACTCTCCCAACTCCTTCAATATTCACCTTCCAAGCTTTACAGCAAAGTAGGCAGAGTCCTACAGGCAAACAGCCTGCTTTACTCAGTAAAACCCTGCCCAGTCCTTATAGGATCTCCCTTTTGTGAGGGTTATAAGGAGTCTTGTAGGAAAACAGCATGTGATGAAAAGTAATTCAACCCCTATCATAAGACAGGTCCAACTTCTTCAGTGGCAAGGAAAAAAATACTGGTGTTTAGGACCCCTCGCTCTCTGGCAGGCCATGTGAACATGGCAGTTCATGGACCTGACTGTGTGGCTCTGTGACAGCCACAGGCAACCCCTTTTCTCCCAGTTATCCACAGTGCTGCCAACCCATACCAGGGAACAGTAGGTATGTTCGGCAACAACACTGCCAACTTTCCCCTAACAGCCTTTCCCTGTTTCTTCTGAGGAAAAGGAGTCATGACAGATCAAAACACCCGGAACTGCCTGTCAGTTAAAAAACCAAGACATAATTCCAGGGGAGCTGAAGTCAGGCTGCGCAGGCAAACTTTGTTTTGGTGTTTTGGAACTTCGCTATTAGAAGTTGCCTGACATCTTATTGACACCTACATTGATCATAAGCCAGCCACAGACTTGATTAGCTCTTGGAGGCTGCTGGACTTGATCACTAAAAGCCAGGAAAGGATGCTGCAGAGTTAGAAACTCCCAATGCCTACATATATAGTCCTGGAGAGTGAGATCAGTCTTCACATCAATGACTCATGATTGCAGGACTCGGTTTGAAGTAAAGAAAAGCCCCTTGGTCTTGTTGAGATCAAACCTACCACCTGTAATTGTTCACAGCATTCATCTGACCCTGCAGGGAGGTCTGCTGTCTGTGAATAGGAAGAGCAAGAGGGGACCCCGCAACCTCCACTCAACAGCTCCCTTTTTAATACGGACATAATGAGAGCTAGGCTAAATTTATTACCATGCGTTCATAAGGATCATCTGTTTCAGCAGCCTTGTCCAAGAGTTCACTGTATTCCAGCTCTTCACAAAGATGTTGCAAGGTATTCAGAGGTTCATTCAGCTCAACTGGCATGGATACTTTGGAAAGATCTTTGCCAATGTTATTTCTCAAAATATTCCACAGATTGATGTTACTGGTGTCAGGGCTGGGAGCTGGGAGACAAGTTCTCCGTCCATTCCTGAATGCGCCTCCTGTTAGCTCACCATTAAGAACTGTGAAGGGAAAAATCTATTATCATAAGAAAGCACCAGATCAAGAAAAACAGACTTATCCATTGAACCAAATCACCACCAGAACAAGCAAGCCCAACTTCACTGATTTCAGCTGAGTTGGTCTTGTACAGACATGCAGTAAATCCGGTACATGAACAAAACCAACATAATTTCCCAAAGTTTAAAACACAGCAGTATACTTTGCCGAGAAATGTTGTCTGCAACACTGGTGTTGTCCTCAGATATATTATCACTCACATCACTGATATAAGATTCATCATCAGAAGCCTAAAACATAAATAAAATATCAATTAAGTCAAAAACATATAAAATATACTGACAAATTAGACAAAAATGCTTAACTGAAAGACAAATATTTAAAGAAATCATCTCTACCCAATTAGAGCTTTTAACTAAATCAACTGGATGTTTCAATCAGCCCATGTTGCCAATGCACTAGAAGTGTCAAACCAAATGCTACGCTCTCCTTATGTTTCTGAATTCCTTATTATGAAGCCAAATACAGACATTAAATTTGCAAAAGGGTGACTTCAAATGAGATCAGGGATGAACAAAAAATTGACAATGTAATGCGCGGGGGATGGGAGGTGAGAAGAGACAGTCAGATTTGTGCTCTTTATAAAGAACCAAACAATAAAATGCAGCTTGTGTTTCAGTCAAAAATTATATAAACAGCGACCTATCATTTTGCAAAACAAGAACTAGATCAGTGTTAAGACTATTTTTAAGATTTTTTTAAACAAAAAAAGGGTTGTTTTTTTTAGAAATATTACTTTCAAAATATTTTACGGTATTTACTGATGACAGAGTATTTATTATAAAGCCTATACCACTTGGGGGTGATTTTGTAGTTTCTATTTTGTTTATACCACACAGACACACCAATTTTCTATGCTGATAAAGACAACCCAGACTATTGAGATAACTAGTACTTTACACCTGCCAGAAGCAATAAGATAAGGAACAATTCCATTCTTTAGATGAGCATCTTTAGCTGTGGTTGTGCCAACTCATGGCACGTGAGCAATCCTTGTCAAAGAGAAAATATGGTGGTACACTCTTATTTCCTCTTACAGAAGAGTTGTCGAAGACCACGGCACTACCATGGCTTTATAAAAAGGTATTTTAAACAATAAATAAAGTTTGAAAATTGAGGAATTTATTCAGGATAGCACAGGAAAGCTGTGAACAGCAACGTGATTCAGGAGCCTGAACTGTATCTTCAGCTTCAAGCTGGAGCGAGTCCATTTTTCACTTTTCAGCCTACTTCTCTGATTAGAGAGAATAACTTTCTATGTATGCTAGAAGACTTTTTTTAAAATAGTATTTTAAAATCTAAATTAGTTGACTGCATAGTCAGACATAATTGCTCCTGTCTATGTCATCCTGATGCGGAACTGCCATAGTCTAGCAAGGACATGTACTGAACATAAACTACTGATACAAACAACTTTCAACTCAGTTTTACGTGCCAGGGTACTTCTGCACCCCATCACAAGGGAGTCTCAGGTTCATTTCTCTACACCTTACACATTCTGATACTTTTTTATTCCAAGTAGCATTATATATTAAAAAAAAAATAAAATCATTCACCAGTGGTAGCAGTAACTAAATCTGCCCAGCAGCAAGGCTGCAGCATGCTGTCATAGCCTACCTCATTTTCTGACGAGCTGGCAGAGAGAAGCACTTCCTGTGCATCAAAGAACTCTGAAACGGATTCAGACATAGAGAGCCTGCTCTCATTAGAAACTTGCTGAGACAATGGCAAACTGACATGAATTTGTTCGCCTGTCTGTAAATGAAGCACAGAAAAAATAAAAGTATTCTTTCTCATACAAAAGAAATATGCAGAGAAGGGGTAAATCACCTGAGTAATTTTTCTATGCCAAATATAAGCACAGATAGTAAAGACGGAATTTTAGCAGGGCTTTGTGTGTACCTAATAGATGAGACTGACAATTGCAACATAAAGTGCATTTTGAGCAGTGAGGTACACGTCATCATTTGAAGCCTGCTCAGCATCAACTGCTAAGTTTTAGCAGCATGAATGATCACAGATCTAGTTCTGTATCTAGAGGAATGATTTTGTGGACAATAGCTGGATTGTGTCAGACAAGTTCAACCATGAAACTCAGATGAAAAGACACCTGGTCATAACAAATTACATCGCTAGGAGCTAGCTTTGACACAACCAAAACTTGAATATTAAGCTTTATAAGGTCATGGAGTTACAAGTTACTTTCAAAATAAATGTTCTTGTGAACCAGTTCGTTAACAAATGTTTGAAATGTTTGAATATTCAGGAGGATGGCTATAATATATATTTATGTGCTTTTATTCCATGTTTGAACTCCAAATCTCAGTTGAATTATGCCATTAACACTGACTCAATACTACTAAAGGGAATGAACTCTCTGTGGTTTATTACAAAGCAAATTTAACAGCAAAGGCAAGGGTTCAAAATTGTATTATGTGTCTATCAGTAGGGGGGCAAGCTAATTTACATAGTGGAACATATCTTCGTCTTCCTGCTATTGATGGGAGGAACACCAGGTTTCAATGTGTTACCCTGCAGGCTATCACTTTAAGAAGCAGGGGAAAAATTAAGATTCTTTCCCTGTACCATTCCACCAAAGGAGCTGTTGCTGCGCAGGGGAACTCCTTTCTGACTTAATCCCTTAATTTATACAGCATGTTGCTTCTGGGAGATAATACAAATGAAACTACTGAAACCCTTCTAAACACAGTTAACTCTTCAGATTGCAACTCCATTCCCGTTAACCTTACTACAGAAGTTCTGCAAATGGTTTTGTTGACATCTTAATTCTGTAGAATTATTCTATATAGTTGCCTCAAAACCCACTAACAAAAAAAAAAAAACAAACCAAACCATAAACAAGTCAAGAGGTCAAAAACCATTCCTTTTTCACTGGGGCTTACAATCTTGTAGATGGCTTATGATGTTTGATGAATTATAATGGAAACAGAAGCTCATTTCACTATCTTTATAGGAAATGGTTAAAATTTTAAGTTTTTGTATAAGCTAGAAGGACTTTGAAAAATGCACAAACCCCTACCTGAAAAAGATGCTCACACAGACATTATCTACACACCACAAGATTATATAGATAAAGCAATCAAGAGAAGAAGTGAATGAGAGATCTGGAAACCTCTTTGAAAAACTCCTTCAGTCAGACACACTTGTACCAAGATAATGATGTACGTATGAAAAAGAAACAGCTAACCAACCAAAACCACAAAACAGAAGACATGGTCATTGCTCAGAACTTCACTGCAGATTGCTGTGCTGTGGCACCACTTCACCTCTATCTTCTGTTGCTAGTCTCCAACATGCTGGACTCTTGGAAAAATTGTTTGGATGTTTTCAAAAAGCAAACAAAGTAAATGGAAACATATTTTCACCTTCCTTCCTTGTTGGAAGAAATAATTAGGAGACAAGAGTAGGCTAATTGAAATGGCATATGCATAGCAAAAAATTAGTGGAAATGACAAATGAAAAATATTTTGGTAAAATGCAAGCAGAATGGTTGTCAAAGTGACCACATTAATTGTAACATATTACAGCTCACAAATTCAGATTTGTCCTTCTCATGAGGGAAGCTGACTTGTTATTAATACAAATGTTCGGTAATCTGTTGACTGTTCCTCAGCAAAACAAGAAAGACTAGATGTTGTAAGCATGGTGTTAGTATAGTGCTTGGTTCATAGGCTGAACCTTTTGATTTCAGCAGCGCCAGTCAAGATATTAAACATCAGGCCCTTTAAGCACTTGCAGGATCAGGCCATTAAATACTATACTGTTCTGCTGATAGGCAAGAAACTAAGATACAGAACTGGTTAGCTACTGTGTGTTACATTCAAATACAGTAAAACCTCACTAATTCCCACAGCCAACAATTAATATTCTAAACCTGGAGTCCTTCCGTGTCTCTCTGCAGAGACAAAACTGAGTTCTTTCATGAGATCTGACATATGCAAAATAAAAGACAGAAGTTTTATAAAAGTAGGGAAAATATAATCTGACTTTTTCTATAAATGAACACTTGCCAATCTGAAAAATTCTATAACTTGCCAGGTGTGTTTCAGCTATTAGTGAGAATTAGCAAGGTTTGATTGTACTCTAAATCCATTAAAGGCCAAAGTCTTACCTCATCAGGACTAGGGATAATATTTACACTGACAACCTGATCACAAATAACAGATTCTGAATGTATTCTGTTCAAGCGACTCCTTAGTTCAGCATTCTGGTTGAGAGCCTTAAAATAAAAATTGCACATTTCATTTAAAATTAAAAAGTAAGCGTTAAACAGCAAAAAAAAAAAAAAAAAAAAAAAGCTTCTTCCCAGCAATTTCCTAAGAAACCACAGAACCTCCTTTCTTCCATTTTTAGAGATTACCTATTTTTTTTTTCTATTTTTAGAGAATACCTGTTTTGAGATTCTCTCGAACATGATTTAATCTTTTGGTTGGTTTGCCTTCAGTGATTTTCAGGAGGCAGGGGGGACAGATATTCTCCCACTGTGTAACAGTGGCATTTAACTTTAATCCTTCGAATAGCTCTTTGGCAGGTATACTGGTGGGTTATGTACATTATGGAAATGGGGAGTGAACGCAGCAAGGAAGAATGAAACTGCAGAACAACAAATGGGAGCTGCCCACAAAATGCCCAAAGGGGCAATTCTTGATTTACTACACAGACCTTTCTGAACCAGGGTTATCGGCACTTAGAGCCCGCAAAAGGAAATTGCTTCCTTTCCAGCAAAGCCAACGTAATTGCTACTATCATTGGGTGTTCGCCTGCCCAGATCAATTTGATATATTTGCATGTGTGTACTCATTTGAAATTACTGATCCATTAGTGTGTCACAAATATCAATAGAATTCAACTGGTGTCTGGTATCTGCTGATTCTTCTTTTTTTAAAGCCCAACCTAGATTATAAATTTGGGTGCACATATAGATCTTGTCTGTTATCTAGAAAGACTCATGTGCAAGATTCTCAAATCCAGAAAAAGTATGTACATACCTAGAACCTGAACTGACTTAACCCTAACATACCCCCAGCACTGAGGAACGACAGACAGACAGACTGTTTTAGTAGAAAACGACTGTTATAATGGAGTGAGAATCTTCTCCTGCCTCCCCCTAGTGCAGACTCAGGAACAGATTGCATGAACATACTGAAACGAAGTAGGACCAAAGTAAAATAGGTTAGCTTAAACTGTCACTAAACAGTTTAAATTACCCCATTTTGTTTTGTTCTGAAATGGGCATGTTCACAGTTGCCATCTACCAGGAAGGGCAGGTGATGACTGACAGCAGCCTGGCAGTAGCTTCCTGAACTGCTCAAACCTGGCCATGAGACTGGTCAAACCCAGCTGTCTGGCAAAGGTCAAATTTCCTCCTATTCCCCATTGAGACTATGAACTAATGCATGACACTGACTTTTAGACTGACACTAGAGGCCAGGAAGAAGAAGAAAACATGATCTACTATTTCATAAAAGTTGATAATAATTCTCCACAGGTCTTAGTTAAATTTATATCAATAACCAGAAATGGTTACCTTTATCTCTCCTCCTTAACCTTTCTGTATTACAATACACAGTAATCAATCTGTGTAACATGGTATGCATCTGTATCTGTGCATCACTTTTAATCTCACAGAAAAAACCTCCAAGCCCAGTAACAATAACAGTGTATGAAATTATATACACATTTGGGTGAAGTTCTGTCTGCCTTTAAACCTCTGCTCACATTTGTTGCAGATGCAGTACTCCACACCAATCCATTCTTCAGAGTAAAAGCTTTTAGGTTTCCTTGACAATGAACTTTAAAACGTGAGTTATTTTGCAACCTGAGGACTTCCTGAGGTTGCTTTACCTCTTCTTCCCCACTAAAGCCAATGACATTTTTTCCTTTGGCTTAAGTGGGAGAGACACTGGACAGTAACAGATGTGTATCTGAAAATCCAATTTACCCATTACTATCCCATAACCCATAATTCCTTCTACAGTTAAAGACATGGACGTATAAAACAAATCTGAAAATACACAGTCAAAATTTAAAACTTCATTAAGAAAACAAGAATATCTCCTTGGCTGTGCTGGAAACAGCTCCAGGAAAGATATACAGCACTTGTATAAAAACATTTCATCCCTTTTCTTTACTTTGGAAAACCATAACAGATACATGCTTACACAAATTACATCCTTCACCTCCACATGCATTGAGGTTAGACCTACGTTATAAGTGACCATATGTCATAGTTCTGGTGAAGAGCTTGGCTACCTCAGGAAATGGCCAAAATACAAAAGAAATAGTGCACCTGGCGAACTAGATGTGCTGGAAATCAAATCAAGAACATACCTGAGAGAGGGACTGTCTGAGGTGTGCTATTTGAGCATTGTGGCCTGTAAGATCCTGCTCTGAAACAATCTGCTTAAGCTTCTCCTTCTCTATAGCTATGCTGTTAAAGGCAGACTTCAAAAGAGAATGCACTAGGCAAAAAGAAAAAAGAAAACAAGTTTTTTTCTCAGCTACAGAACTGCACATTGACATCTATTACAATATTTCAGCAATAAAGACGGAGTGAGATTTCCATCCCACAGTTACGGAAATTTGAAACAAGGATCTGAGCTTCAAGTAATCCATGCCAAATCAAATACAAACACTTACAGCTTGAGGTTGTAATGTGCATACTGTCTGTTCACACATACGCCATCTGAGCATATTCTTGGTGCTGAATGTATCGAAAGGTGCATATTTGGAAAACCTGTGTCCCACACATGTTATTTTATTTCTGGGTTGTTTTTTTTACTTTTCTTTATCAGAGTAACAAAAAAAAATCAGTTCTGCTAGGACTTAATATTGCACTAATAAAGAGGATTGCTTGGTCTTTAAACAGGTTTTTGACATTTTTTTAAGGTATCAGGCTCACGTTTTTCTATGTTTGTTATATAACAGATAGCAAACTGGTAACAAAGCCTTTTAAAAATAATATTTTTCAGTCTGTAAGACCATTCATTTACTGGCAATAAAATGGCATTTCTACTAATAAGCTCTTCTTCTGTTGTTTCCACTGACGTAGAAAACATTGCACAAAAATTAAGTGCACAATATTATATGTAGCAGTGACATTCTGATTCATCTTTGGAGAGAAATCAAGCATTTTACTGAGAAACAAAACATTTGCAAATTCAGTCACATATTTACAAGATGCAGAAAGTAGTTCAGAAGTCTTCTAAAAAAATCACTTATCAGACAAAGTTTACCTCTCTCTCTATTCATGACATCCATGGAAAATGTAAGAAGGATAATATATGTCATCTTTATGTAAGCCACCTGACCAGCTAAACTTTCTTACACATTATCACCTAATGCAGGTGAATGCCCTGACCATAACTAAGTGAAGGTGATCAAGAAACACAACAGAGAAGCACAATAAAGGAAAGGCTTGATGTCTCTGGTTACCTTTTTGTGCCATCAGGCAGAACTCTTCTTGAAGCTTCATGTACTCGGTAGAGCACTCCAGAGGGTCCGTTACATGGCTTGGGGGAGTCTGAAACTCGATGTCTGCGCAGAGGTTGGGATTGGATGAATGCAGTCGAACAGGTGACATTGTAGCACTGAAAGGAACCTACAGCGAGAAACAGTGAAGAAATATTGTATAAGGTGCAACCCACCCTTGGACTGTTGAAGCAAAATTCAAATTCCTTCTGAAAACAAATACTTCATTCACAACATGGAGAACATGGTAAGACTGAACATGTAACTTTTTATTCTCCTAAATCGCAGCACAGCTGATGAAATTTGTCTTGAAATTTTTTACTGAAACAGACAAAAGAAGGTCTAAATACATAGCTGACAGCTAACGATGGAGTATTTCAGTTGTAACATTTACAAAACCAGACCATTTCCTAATGCTTAAAAGATGACTGGAAAATTGCACCACGACACATGCTGCTTTATTATTTGGACATTTGAGGGTACAGGTAGTATGACTCTGTTGTTACAATGCCAACATTTGAAGTATGCAAGTTCCTCCACAGATCTAGAAATAGAATATAATATTATAAAATATATCATAGAAGTTTTTCAAAACTACTGATAAATCTTGAGTTGAAACTCACTGTACTGACAACTATGAAGAGGGAAAAAGCATATAGTCCTTCCATATTCTTTCTAACTAAAGAAATAAACAACAAAAAAAGGAAAAAAAAATCAAAAGTCGACCTCATTTTCATTTAAAGTAGATGAACCATAAATAAATGCAGAGATATGGTTTAGTAAGATGGAGCAAAGAATTTAGTTTATCATCACTTCTACTTTCTCCTTCTATACTTTTCAAGTACAGTAATAAAAATATAAATGTAAATCTTCTAAGTTATACACACATGTATCAAATGTACTGAACAGTTACCTATATGCTACATATGCAGCGTATGGCTACCACTGTTATATATGTGATGTTGTGTGTGTGTGAGCATATGTTGTATTTTACCATTTACACACATTTCTATAAAAATCAGGCCAAGAACCCAATTTTCAAATTTAAATGCAAAGGAAAGGCATGCAGACCTACACTTTGTTACTTAAACATTAAGCACTGTTAAACATATGAACACATTAAATCTAATTTATTTCATTATATTGATCAAATGTATAAATAAAGAATTTTCACACTGCAGCCCAATGTAATTATTCAAATAAGAAAAATGGGGCCAAAATATAAAGTGTGTCTTCCAAGGCATGATAAAGAGGAGCAGATAACATAAAAAGTCATATTACTAAGAATTTTTATCAACAGATAAGTTCTATACTACTGTTAGTATTTGAAATTGGTATCTGGTTATCTGATTAGAGCAAGGAATGGTTTTATCAATCCCTTCCTGTAAAAGTTGTCATCAATACATGTTTTAGGTTTCTGATTCCCCAATGAAGCCCTCAAAATCCCGTTGGATCTATTCATCACATCTCATTCCACTCATGAGCATATACTGCAAAACACCATTTTCCATCCCGTTCTTCCTCAATTTCCAGACATATGGCACATAAAATAATAGCTCTATGACACCTATGCAGTATAAACTTTATTCTCTTCTCTCATGTATTTTGATTTCCAGCAAGGTAGGTATTTTTTATTGGACCTCATTTTAGCCTCATATCAAGAAGACTTCATTAACAGGAGACAGAATAAATTCCTTCCATTCGTACTGGGTATTTACCCTATTATCTTCTTCACAAGTACCAGATTACCTCTCTCAACAGCCCAACAAAACTAGGTTAATTGACTAATGAGACTAAATGTAGGTTAACTTCAAGTTTCCTTTACTAAACCTTTTCACTTCTTAAATCGGGGAGCATGTTCCCAGAAGTGTCTGACTGGTAGCACCACAAAGGTTCAATTGCTCCAGGAGGACAAAGTAGGTGGCTGCACGATAATGTGTGCATGGGGAGCACGTACCCAACCCTCAAGCCCATCCAGAAGTCAGGAAAGAAAGCTGATCCCAGCTATAACACAGGAGCTTGAGGGAGAGTCCTTGCAGCCCCATGTGCATATGGTGATGGGGCAGGTTGTCCCAGCCCCATGTAGACTGGCAGAGCTGCAGGCAGGCTGCCCACACATGGCGGGGACTCTTTAGTCACTTCGTGATGAACCCAGCTGAAGAAACCTGCTTTAGATTCGTTATTTCTGCCTCATACCTCAGCTGGCCAGGCTGAAAAGCAATGTTTCTGCAGTAAGGTTTATTGGAAAAATAACATTTTAAAGTATGTCCTAGAAACAGCATTTACATGTTCTACAAATACTGTCACTCTGCTTGCAAGAAATATACATTCACATGACAGAGACAACTAGCTGCTTTGCCGACTACTTTAAATACAAGAACCAAAAATACTGAACTGTTGACTGGCATGCGTCTTTTCGAAAAGTTTCCAAGCTACTTTCCACAACAGATGAAAAAATCCATATTGAACAAACTCTTTCATTCTCTTGAACATGCAACAGTCCAAGAAACACTGTCAGCGTACTTCTTTTCCCCTTTTTTTCTTTTACTGCTGTGCTTTCTGTCTATATCCACAGTGAATTGATTCTGACTGTTACCTATTCTTTTTGGGGGTTTTTTTTATTGTTTTGGAGGTTTTTAAAAAATATTTAGCTTCTTGATGCATCACTCTGGCTTCCTCTGTACACATACTCTTCTAGACATGATGCATCTTCTTGATGCATCACTCTGGCTTCCTCTGTACACATACTCTTCTAGACATGACCTCAGACATATCTTGTCCTGACTTTCTGCTTTATGTGAGGGGTGTATTACCCACTTACCCATCACCGTCTTCAGAACTAAGCACTCATGTAGGAACAGACTGTTCCTAGTACAGTGGGTTGTAAGGAAAACCCCCTCCTTCTCCCATGCATTTAACTGATGTAATTCTGTATCTCTCGGTCTGTACACAGAACTTCACTGTGTGGGAGAGAAAAGCACCTTCCTACATCAGCCAGGAGGAACAGGCCATTGCCATGACCAGTGCAACATCTGCAGGGTCATTTTGGTGCCCCTCGTTCTCCTTCCTCCTACCCTTCTTCCAGCTCCTCCAAGACCTCCCTCAACAGATCCTCACTTCAGCTGCAGGTAACAACCCAGCGATTCCCTGGACTCCTACTGCCTTGCAGCCTAAGTCTGGCTGTGTTTGCTCCATTGAAGCACTCCTTGGTACAGCTCTTGCCAATACTGCTTAAC